GGAAATGTTCCGGAGCGGTGGACGTCAATAAAAATGAATTTGAAACGGATAGACGGATCGGAGATAGGCCAAAGGTGGAGCGTCCGCGGTGCTGGCCGTGAATCGCGGATCGGGCTATGGACGTCGAGCAGAATTGGTTTTGCTCGCCAAGTCTCCTACCACTCACTAAGTTTGCAACTTGCAGTGCTTGGTGTAGAGGCAGAGGCGTTACCGCAAACCCAATACATCACGTCGTGGTCTCTATCCCACTTTGGGTCATCTCTGTGGTTTTTTCTCCCTCTCTCCTGGTCCCCCTCCCCTGTCTCCGGCTATTTTCCTATCTGGCGTGTTTTCTGTTCTCGGCGTACGCCTCCCGGCTGTTTGTCTTCCCATCTGGCCACCCCCGCAATACCGCCCCTTTTTCGCCTCCCGCCCTGCTTCTATGGGATCTTACCTCTCACTTTCTGAAGTCACGGGCATTACCGTGGATTTACTGTTGAGTCAACACTTTTTTTTTCGCTTACGATCGATCGTCTACCCTCGTTCCTCTGTTGTCGATTTTAATACCACGATTTAATTCTTTTCATTTATTGAGCTCATTCGAAGTTTAATAGGAGCGAAAATAGACATACTTACTGAATTCATGCTTGTAGCCCTCGAAACGCAAAGGCCCTCTTTGCACGGCCGATCAAAAATTAGCACAAGCAACAAGCATGACCCACCCATGAAAAAGGGGTGTTTTATCGATTGCACGTACCTCCATCGCGTCGCTTAAAATTTTCCGATTAATTTAATTTTCCAAGGAGAAAACTAACCAGAATAGCTCATCAAATTTGCGCGAACTCTCTAGAATTGAGGATGAACATTATTTTAACAAAATTATTTTTGACAATTTAAAAAAACTGTTAATTTGCTTTCTCAAAGAAAAAAAAGTTCTCTCAAACCGGGCCGGATTTACCTACTTGCCGCCCATGGGCCGCCTATATTTTGCCGCCTCCTTCTATTCGCTTTGAGACATCAATAAAAACTATCAAGTGAACGTGCCACATTTTTTGCGAAAGCCCTGTCAACACTACTAGCAAAACTTCATGGAACTTTGCGCGAATGTTAAGTTCCGTAAACCTATCGCTGTGAAGACAAGGCCTCACGGGAAAAAAAATTGCTGATTCAACAATTCAATTGCGAAAAACAGTGAGTGCAATGTTTCAACGCAGATTTTACAACAAAAAAATGCTACTTTAACCACATTGTAAACTAATTTAACCACGGGGGTGGTTAAAGTAGCATTTTTTTTGGTAAAATCTGCGTTAAAATATTGCACTCGCTGTTTTTAGCAATTGAATTGCTGAATCAGCAATTTTTTTTCCGTGCTCCCATTTATAAGAAATGAACAAACAAATTATGAAAGAACAAACATAAATGTACTCGTAGTTTAAAAATTTCAACTTCCGGGTCCGCCGCCGCGTCGCGCCGACCGCACTGTGTTTGGTGCAATGTTTGAAGTATTCCCACAGTCTTGTAGGCGCTATACATTTCACGCTGACCGCTGCTGAACGTTTGACGCAATGCGTGAAGTATTCATGCAGTCTTGTAGGCGCTAATATGTATCACATGCAGACCGCCGCGCCAAGGGCTTCTCCTTTTCATCTCAGGTCCTCGTCATCATTGCTCTCTGCGCTGCGCGCCGTCCCAGGCCAAATTGGGTGTTTGGTTTCTCTCTTAACTCGACTAAATAAAGGTACTGTCTCTTGTATCACCGGAGGACGACGAAATTAGAAATTACTTTACTCTCAGGAAATGAGAGATTTTGTCGCCTTTTCTAGTTTGTAATTTTTCGAAATCCGATTTTTTTTAAACCTACATTTAAAAAAATTGCTAAATTTGCCGCCATGGGCCGCGACCCATGTGGCCACCCCCCACACCCGGCCCTGCCTAAAAAGAAAATGGAACATGAGAGGAAACTTTCAACGTCGCGTCACGATCGAAACTACGCATACTTTTCGACTCTAGCCATCGTTTTCACGGAGAAAAAAGAATGGACCACTAGACAAGGTACGAATTTAAGCAATCTGATACATGTTTCTTAACCAGAATTTTACGTAAAACACGATTCACACAACGAAAATTACTGAAACCAACTCCAAACGAAGATATGAACGTTTTTATTACACATTGGTTACGAGGAATTTGAACTGCCCGCTCACAAGAAACTCAAAGCTCTACGTGAGTCAAATCGCACACTACAACGATTTCAGCAAGCTTCTCAATCGAGCAATGTTCATTTCCCACCATGTGTTGTTCAAACTATTAGCAATTTGCTATAGCTGAGCCAAAGTGTCAAGATTGATCGAGGTTGCCAGAGTTTTATATCGCAGAGACTGCCATGATAACGTTTAGCGCTCAATGTGAATCACGTAGAGCATTGAGTTTTCATGAGCGGGTGGTTTGAATTCACGCATTAAGAATCATTAAATATCTTCGTAAGGTATTGATTTCGGTAATTTTCGTTGTAAGAATCGTTTTTTACGTAAAATTTTGGTTTAGAAACATGTATCAGAATGCTGAAATTCGTACCTTGTCTAGTGGTCCATTGTTGCCTTCGTAAAGATCATTGCTCATGGTGGATTCCAGGTCCCACCTACTGTCCTGGTCGTAGTTACAATTTAAACATTGTGATATCCATTATTTCGGCCTCCATAAGAATACTGCGTTGTTGCTAAAAACCGGTGCAATTTTTACCACAAAAGTGATCGCGACTAAAGCAGCTTCTGGAATTCATCACGAGCATTCTCGGAGTGACAATCCTTTTTGGTACACCCGACTTGGTCCGATCAACCGTGGTTTTTCCCGCCTCGGAGAGGTTCAAGAGCAAGAGCTTTTACCGCAGGGAGAGATGACTGACGGATTGCGCAAGCTCAAAACTTCACCCGCCGACGTAATAATTCGGTTGCACAACGAAGGTCAGAGCTTTTGCTTCTCTGCAGCGCGCAATGGCAAAACGTGTCAAAGAAGATGGATGGCGAAATAGCTCACGAAGAGAAATTTCACCGGCTGCAGCGGGCGCAAGCGCAGGGACCCGGGATCATAGCGAAACGTGCTCCCTCGCTCGCCCGGTCCCGGGCAAACGACGGGAGCGGAGTATAAATTTTCACCGCACCGATGCCATCGATGGACGGTTGGACAACGGAAAGAACAATCGATTCCTCCCACAAAGATCACTCACAGCAATATCGCGCACAGATAAGCGCTCGTTCGCACCTCTGAACGGATCCGAGGCCCGATGCTCTTCGTCTTCGTTCTTTCAGACCGGAGAGACAACTTGACGGAAGAGCCGACCCACCATTACACCCACTAACATACCTCTACAGGGTGACTCGGGATTCAATGAAATGATAGCGAAGTCGATGGTTCAGTTCGCTGTAGACGAGCCCAAAGCACAATGGATCGCATTTAGCAAGACAAGAGAACCAGCGCGATTACAGTGTTTTCAAAATCGTGCAACTTCTTCTTCACTTTTAAAAATACTTGATGTATGTATACAGTATTAAAATTAACACAATTTTTTCTCCTTAAAATTGACAATTTTTTGGTAAGAAGAAAAAACTACTTGCTATTCTGAGAGATTTTTGAGATAAATATGAAGAAGCCACATCTTTACAACACCGCAATCGCACTGGTTCATTTTTGTTAAATGCGATTCAAATTATGGTACCTATGTACCACCGCTGTGGATGATGTTTTAAGCCGTGTTCTTCAAGGGCGATACCTTCGTTTATATTGGACGTAAAAACTAGGCGTTTTGAAAGATCGCAAGAATTTCTGTTAATCTGTAACATCTTCTTCCCGCGGGACGTATCAAGGGATTTGTCTCAAGTTCGAATAGCAGGAATGAAAACGCTGGGATTTTCGGAAAATAAATTCGCCTGATCGTCATACTGCGATTGTTTTGTTTTGTTTACCAAGCGTTGAAGTCACTAAGTTATTTTGCAATAACAAATCGGTCTCAGTATCCCCCAGGCCTTAGAAAATAATACTTTACATTATTGGTTTGTTTTTTTTACTTTGCGTTAAAGTCATTAAGTTTTTCTGTAATAACTGACGGGTTTCAGTATCCAAGGAAAATCTACAGTGACGTACGCATTCATAACTTTGATCCCTTAATTTTTGCATGTTGATTTATTTCTTAATTGATCGTAATCACTGCAAGTGAATTTGAACAAACAGATTTCAGCAGAAAAAAATCTAGGGAAATATCAACCGTGCACACTTCTCTATGTAATGTAGACTTTCAGCTTGAATTATTTACCACCCAGCATTGACTTATTCGCTGATATAAAACTTCCAGATTTAAGTAGTAATTGTAACTAGGGGTAAAAACGCTGAGATTTCTCGTTGGACTCTCGAATTGTATGAAATTAAAAATTAAGGTTTGCAAATTTACCTTTTTTCAGTACATCTCACTCGTGAGAGCTGATTGGCTTTGGACAGGGCGCTCGAGATGTCTACCATCAGCGGTGCGCCGCGCCGCGCCGTCTTGATTACTCTCTGAAATGTATTCTAGCTTTAAAGTAAAATTTTGGAGTCTTTTATTTAAAAACAGTTTGTTGCCATAAAAATCTTAACACATCAGTAGCGTGGCGTGTTTTGCGATGTATCGATTGATCTTTCGTTCAAACCTATGGAAAAGGACCGATAAACAGGATGTTCGCAACGAACACCTTAATAATCGATTCTTTACCACAGCTTCAAATGGGAAATATCGATAGTCGATCATTCACGCCTCGCTTGTAACAGGTCACGCCCAAGATTATCGACACCGACCACCAACATCTTGCTTCAGCCGTTGTTGCTGTTTTCAGAACAGTCGCAACATCGACAAAATCCTGAGACGCTAATCGCATACGTTTTTGCTAGAAGAGCATAATTATGCAGTGAGTCTCTGAAAGTTGTTCATATCTTGTCCATTTTCAATCATCTCTACTCACACTGATTAAAGCTTTTTCCCTATTCTTTTGTTGCAGATCTCAATTTTATTATTATGCAGGCAGTTCTTTTACTATCGGTTTTGGTAAGTATTATATTATTTTTTAGTTTCTTTGCTCCTCTGAGCGAGTACTTGAATATCATATTTTTCTCTTGCATGTCAAACATTCAATCATGTTGAATTTTTACGTGCATATATTCTGATAATAGTGATACGCAAAATAACTCACTAACGTTTTTATCTGGGGCGAAAATTTCTCTGTGATGCACTTTCTCCTCTCGTTTGTTTATTTTTACTTTTCCGAACTCTAAAAATACATATACTGGAGGGAAGTGCACGTTGGCAAACTTCTACCCAATCAGCTTGTTTCGCTCGATTTTTGTTGTTGTACGGATAAGTATGTAAGAAAGAATTTTAGGAGTTATTAGATTCCTGATTGTATAATGGTTTTCGGGAGCTTTTTTAGGTTCCATAGCATTAATGCAGTAGAGACAGCTAATACTGTAAGTTTATAGGAAAAATATATATAGCTGGTCCCAAAATTGCATGAATATTGAAAATTAAAGGATGATGAATAGAAAAGCAAGACACAGCACACATAATTAATGATAAATTTTGGCGGTGAAAGTTGGAATGGTTTAACCTAAGTAGTAGTGATCGCAATAAGTTGCGGTTTGATCGGAAAATGTATCGCGATTTTACAGTCGTCGATTTTTTGCCATATTCTCGGATAAAAAATTGCGATAAATTGTGATTTCATCACATAAAGCAATAAAATCGCGATTCTATCGACGGCGAATTATTGCAATTTTATTGAGAAAAAATCGTGATAAATTCGGATAAAATTCAGTTTTGTGCAGGAATCTTGATAATTTCTTCTGCGAAAAAAGTATAATGTGACAGGTTATCTGCAACATGCAAACCACAGTACTTTGTTTCGTAGTTTCACGATAGATTTGCAAAATGACATCGAGCGAAAAGAAGCGTCACGACAAGACGTTTAAAGGAACTATGAGGAAATCGTTGGCTGATATCGGAGAGGAGCAATCTGCCTCCATTTTCCGAGTTTGGCAGAGGCAGCTCCCACGCTTTTTACGTCTGTGCAGGTTGCTTCCAGTGTAATAGTCTACTCTAATTGGATGCATTTACTTACATTCATCCTCATTGCATTTAACGTTGCCCAAAATCTTCTCGTGTGTTATTTTGTTTACAGAAAACCGAACAACAAAATAGCGCCTCGAAACTTCTGGTTATTAGAAATGTATTAAAAAATTTCGAATCAGAATATTGCTCAGGTTTCTTGTATGGGCGACGTTAGATGTAATTAGGCTGATTCTGGTTGAATCCATACAATTGGACTTCATTCTTCAATTAGGAACTACAATATCCGGCTCATCAGTAAAAACACTTATGTGTATCGGCAAACTAATGGTACATACGTTATTGCAAAACTGAGACATGTAATTTTAGCTCCCACTTGCAAAATGTAGTACAATTTTACTGTGAGTTGGTCGTGTACAAGTAGATCAAGAATGAGAGGGAAAAATGAAAAAAAAAGGGGGGGATTGAAACGTAATCTTGTCAGTAAGTTATGAGAACTATGTACTATCTAAAAATTTTGATCAAGGGGTTGAAGCACCAATAGAATATCGAAGTTGGAATTCCTGAAACCACGTATCCCGTTTGTGATGTTTTAAAATCATCCGCACCCATTACCTCTCATTTTGAAGAAGAACACTACAACTAGTCCGTGTGGTACAAAGAATTTTCCTCGCACAAAGAAGAGAAATCACGAAAGTTTTAAAAAATTAATGTTGGGTAGTTTTACATTTAAAAAATAAAGTATGACAGTAAGACTTCAACGTTGCAAACCGAGATACGTGGTTTGGGGGTTAGCCATCGATATTTTATTCTTTAAGCAACTCCTTAAAGAAATAACTTGCAAAATGTTTTTATCCGTTGCGTTTGTTGTTTTAGGTTAGCAGATCAAATAGTGTGGAGAAAATCAACCATTCATTATTCTTTCGTGCCAGTAATTACAATAGTTATCAAAATGGTAAGCTTTACTCAAAATGCTTTTCTTTTGTTTGAATACATAGTTTACCCTGGTAAAAATTGGCGATAGGAGCTGCGTTTCAAAATACCATAGGAGTTCTTATAGCCGACTGAAGAAGGCGATAGAAAATCATATAGCTGGCTGTAGAAAGTGGAAAAAATCATACGGCCGGGCTACACGAAGCGATAAAAAATTAAACAGCCGGGCTATAATTTCCTGTCGCCGGGCTTTACACTTTATCGCCTGGCTGTTGCTTTTTCGCCATCGGCTATAAAAGGCTATAAGAAATTGTGTAGAAATGTGTGTGCTTTGTAAATCCGCAAGTTTGTACGGAATCACCATAATATTTACAAAACGCACATTATATTTTCCTTTACTACATATTTGTTTTCATCAATTAAAATGAGAATAATCCATACAGAGTGTGCAAACATTTCAAAGTCATGAGTTGAACAACGCTGACTCCACGAGATTAAATATTAGAGCCTAACACAAAGCGGAGCGGCGGCGCACTGGCGCCTACAAACCTAACAGGGATACTTCCCGCACTGCGCAATGCGTGAAGTATCCCTGTTAGGTTTGTAGGCGCCAATGCGCGTTACGCGCTGGCTGCCCGCCCGCCGCGCTGCGCCGCAGCGTACCACGGCGCTTGAAGCAACTATTTCACGCCAGAGGTATTGCACAGTATCGTACGAAATTGAAGGCGCTCCAACATATTAGGAATGGCAGGCATCCTTCAAAAGCACGGAGCTTCCCTCGCAAAATAAATCAAGATACTACGGCCCAAAAAGAGAGCGGTAGCCCAAAAACTCACTAAGTCCTAGCATCCGTAATCAGCAACGGATAGCATACAATTTGTCTTCAGGCTGTTGTTTAATCGCCAGCGGCTATAAAAGGCTATAAGAAATTGTGTTGCCGGCTACAGAAGCTATTGGAAATCTTACAGTCGGCTGTAGGTCTATGGTATTTTGGAACGCAGATTCTTCAGCCAATTTTCACCAGGGTTTTATGAATTTAAATCACTAAAATTAATTAAGCGTCTTCTAACTTATGAAATGCGTTACTTGAAATGAACCGTGGGTATAACGTTACGGTGATTTGTGAATAAAAATGTGTCTTTTTATTTATTCAATTGGTATATTGTTTTTGAAACATAATTCAACGTGTTCAATTTCTGGAAGTATAGTGCGTATAAAATCCCATGAAAAAATTGTATTTTTAAAATGATTAAAAATACGAGAGACTACTTGTCCCGAATAAAGTAGGGCTTTCAACTTAAGTTTCGTAGTTTGCCGGATGAATCCTCTTATTCTTAGCTCCTTATTCTAAATGTGTTCCTTTCATTCATTGTCCTCACAGCTTTTTATCAATTCAAAGAGAAAAATGACAGCTTACCTCATAGTATTACTTTATGTAAGATACAGCCCAATCCTCTGAATCAGTTTTCCAGTTGGTTCCGTTTATGTTTCCTCAATCATAGATATTTCAGCATTCTCACGAAATTTTTATTGATTATTGAACTCGAATAAATGAGAATTTTTATTTTATTTTTTTACCTGCTATTTTGAACATTCTGATGCGCACATACTCGTATTTTATTTTTGAAGAACTCTTGAAACATTATCTAGGTATACTCTTTCCTGAGTATTTGGCGAGAAAGTAAGCAATAATTTTGGTTGATCTTTGTTTAACTCTGGAAATAGATCCGCCACGGCAGTTTAGTCGGAGAAATGAGCCTTCTACACAGTCAACTACAGTTGGAACGATAGATCCTATGGAGCAAACTGTTGAGCAAATTCTTTTGTGGCTACAGGGCAAATATCTATCATCTCACAGAAAAAGTAAGTATTCAAATGTCATTTATGGATATTTTCATTTAAAGAAAAAAAAGAAAAAAACTGCGCACTTAAACGACTCTGTAAATGTTCCTCTTACAGTAATCTTGGGGCGCCGTGGAGACCAGGTCTTAAAAATAATCTAGGATGGATGAAATTCAATAACTGAAACCAACCTATTTTTGCAATTCACTTTGTTTTCAGTGGATCCTGAGGTACAAATATACCAACCCTCAAAATAGAAATATAACTCACAGTGTTATCATTGAACTTAACCGGGATGTGAGTAGAATTTGCACTGGCGAATCTTAAACTGCCCCGAGCAGTAAACCCTAGCCCCACCCGTTTTCATATTATTTTGATTCATTTATTAGCGAAAATGATTACAAGAAAATACGTGAAAAGGTCAAAAACAAACATTAAAACGCCTTGGGACGTTTCGGTATGGTTCATCCCTTCATTTTTGATCATCAAGAGGGATCCAGGTATTTTTGTTTTTTTGTTAATTTTATTTTTAACGTTTTTCTTTCTTGGTGTATGGGGGTCAATACCATCCTCAGACGTCCTTAGCATTTCGATAATTGTTTTGGCCTTGTTCATCTATTTTCTTGTATTTGTTTTTGTATTTAGGCTAGTTTTGTATATTTTATGCAAATAAGCGCCTTGCCTCGCCCGCCGTAATTTTCCAGACGAACTGATTATAGAAAGTACACGTCTGTGTTATCAATGTCGCACTCGTCCAGGTAGCTTTGCTCCTTACACATGTGGAGTAAAGTGAACCGTTGCTAAAGTAACAGAGCTTTCTTGACATGACTGATATACTGCCGTGCTAAGGAATAACGCCGTATGAACATTTGAGAGTTGCCGAGTTTTTTTTCAATAAAATATTTATTTTTGAGGAAAAGTATGAATGTGTTTCCTTGAAATTTTCAGGAACAATAGGTGAAAACACGAACGAAATTACCTGAAAAATTGGAAGAAAAATATTCACAAGTTCACCAGGAAATTCGTGTTTCATCAAACGAAATCTGGCAACGCCTGAAGATCCATACGGCGTTTTTCCTAAGCACGGCAGTGTAGACGTGTAACTCTCCGGGGCAGTTCACCTGAAATTTGACAACTGTGGGGGGAGGGGGGAGGAGAAGCAAAGCCCTTTTTTGCGCGTGTCTTATCGCCCATTGACTCAACTTTACTTGGATGATTTTTTGACAGCGCGAGGGGAGAACCAGCAGGCAGTGGCAGGGGCCCAAGAGCCCTCGAGAGTGTACCTGCCTTCCTATCCGATGAGCCAGAAGCCGCGGCCGTTCAAGCCGGCCCTGGAGGATCCAGGATACGCCCTGAACCCGGACCCCTCTGGAACGTCGCCGCCAGCACCTACAGAAGGCGTCCTGCGAGAGGGCGCCAACAACGGAATCGACGCGCCGAAGCCCCCTCAAGCCGAGGGCGCCACGTCCGTCGCCCCTCCCAACGACCGGGAGCCCCTGGAGCCGGACAACGGGGCCGCCGGGCAGTCGCCGCCGAACCCGGACGAGCAAGCGGGGACGGAGGGCGCGCCGGGGGTCAACGAGTTCGGCGTGGACCAGATCAACCCGAACGACGTGAGCCCGGTGGCCGAGTCGCCGGACAACAGCCTCAGCGCCAATTCCTCGGCGGTGACCGCGGATTCGGAGCTCAACCACCCGCCGCACATCCACGAGCTGGTCGTCCAGTGCGCCAAGGATCAGATGACCATCAGTCTCGAGTTCAATAAAGTTTTCGACGGAGTTATCTATTCGAAGGTAAGGTCCTCTTCAAATCTTCACTAGAAAAAAAAAAAAAAAAAAAAAAAAAAAAAAAAAAAAAAAAAAAAAAAAACACATTGGATCTAGAGTCCAGACTCTTTAAAACATCGACAAGAAAAAATACTCTTGATTCAATTAGATTTAAGCTTAAATCAAGAACCAAGCCTCTTAATTTGAGCGGATCTCCTTTTTCCTCTCTCTCTTTTGATTTAAGCTTAAATCTGATTGAATCGAGAGTCCTTTTTCTTGTCAATGTTTTCAAGAGTCTGGACTTACAATCTGTTTTTTTCCAGTGATTCCTCGGCAGAACGGACCTGAGGGTCAGATTCATAGTCGGCCCTTAAACATAGGAGGATTCAAGGGGAGTGAGAATCAGTGGCGTAGACAAGGGAGGGGAGGGGGAGGGGGGTCTGCCCCCCCCCCCTATAGCCTCGTTAATTGTACCTTTTTTTTGCTATTCGAGGGCAGACATAAATTATTATTAGGAACGTACACAAAATCATGAAAATTTACCGTATGAAAATTTGGAATGGATCCCTCCCCCTTAAAGAATTCCTAGCTATGCTCATGTTGGGGATAGGGAGACTCCTCCCGTCCATTCACCCGAAAAAACAGAAGAAGAAAAAGGAAGTAAGGAAGAGGCAAGTGACGGAAGTGAGTAGAAGGCTTAAATTTGGTAATTATTCATTACAAAATTGACTCAAACAGTATATTAGTTGTTCTAAAATTTCGAAAATTTTCTCGGGGAAGCTCCCGGATCCTCCTTCTGCCCCCCCCCCCCCGTCTTAAAAGTGTCTGAATCCACCTATATCCTTAAACTGTATCTGAGGATACAGAATATCCTTAAGAAATCATTCTCAAGATACAATTTTTGCCAACCTCGAGTTAAATTTGCAAGGTATGCTGAAAGAAACTACAAGTGGACGTATTTCTGCTAAAAAGAACTACGTGCATATGGTTTGCGTGCAACATAGTTCCTTTTAGCAAAAATACGTTACAATGTGGAAATGAGTTTTAATCGGAAGGAACCATGTGCAAGCATAGGGGGTGCACAGCCAGCCCTGTTTTCTATACTTTTAGATGAGTTTTGTGCTGAGTCTTATGGTACGAGTGTTATTTTTTCGAGTTTTTTTTTGGGGGGGGGGGTTGAAATCGGTTAGGTTATTTTAGAAGAAAAAAAAGAGGAAAAGAGTTATGATTTAGAAGTTCTGCCTCTTGGTAGAATGTTTTAAAATGTTAACAATTGAATTATTGGTTGTAGTTGAGAAATTATAACCATTCAAAGTGGATCAATTTTTTCGTGGATACGATTTTTTGTATTGAAGTTGCCAACATGACGGTGTCTTGATGCGATGACGTAGCAAGTGTTATGATTACTAACAGTACAAGTTTGAACAAGCATCGTCCAAATTTTTGAATTCCTGCAATTAAGATCAAAAGCGGACTGGCTCCGCGAAGCGGCCGGGAAAATTATATTTTCACCTTAAAACAAACAGGATAACAAAATCTCAACTATCTTGCGATCCTAGGATTGCAAGCTCGCGGTGTGTGTGCATCGAGGTAGGTTCGGCACGAAGAAAATACGACTTTCCAAGGACTTGAGCGTGCACCGTGCTATACGCGCAATGCATGAAGTATCCTGCAGACTTGTAAGGCGCTATACTACTCGGCGCGCGCGCCGTGCTGTACGCGCAATGCATGAAGTATCCTACGGTCTTGTAAGGCGTTACTAAGGCGGATAGCATCGATTGCCACCCGGACCTTGTCGATTCTCCGACAAGACGAAAATAAGCCGCACCCTAGGGGTGGGTGGTACACAGCTCCTGTTGATTCTTCAATTGAGTTATACCATGTATCTTTCTCTTCAGTACGAGTTTGTTTAAACCAGTTCCTTTTTTTTCTTTTTTATAGGGGTTTTACAGCTCCCCCGAATGCAGATACGTTGAGCCAAATTCAGGGAAAACGAAATTTGCTTTCAGCGTCATGCTCAACTCGTGCGGAACCCAGTTCATCGACGGTATAATGGAAGGCAAACAGGCGTACTTGGAAAACGTCCTAGTTCTTCAGGGTGAACCAGGAATCCAAGAGGTATGCTGATTCTTAATTTCTACTCAATTTCAAAGATTCTATCCAACGAAAGAATAAATGATTCATGCTTTTCCTTGAATTTGCGTAATATTGTACCTACTTCTCGATTATTGATTCCTCGACCCCCCATCAATTTTGCAGAACCAGTTCAGTAATTTAGAGCACCGTATCGTTACATGTATAACAATTTTCTCAACTTCAAAATTATTGTCTAAACTGAGATCGATTTTATTCTGATGCATGCTTCTCTGTGTGCATTTTCTTCTTGCTGGTTGTATCTTAGAGAAGTAGGAGGATTTTTTTATTTTTTATTTTTTTTAATTCAATATTTTTTCTTTCTTTTCTTTATCAATTGATAAGTTTTAATTTCCTTGCCAATTCAGTGCGTTTTCGATCATAGTTACGCATCAGTAATCGATCTCTAGTCAAAACTACTTTGTTTTCGGATATTAGAGAATCTGACGATCTGTTTTGATTTTCAGGTGTGGGACACGATTCGAGCCGTCCGATGTCTGTGGGAGGGTAATCTGAACAAGGCGTTGTCCGTTGCTCTCACGGTAGGAACTCCAAATGCAGAGTTGGTTGCATTCAGTGGAGACACAGCAACTGCAAAGCTGGATATACAGGTGAGGCTCACAACTTTTCTCTCACCCCCGACGTGCCTATACCTACATTTTGCCAAGGACCGATTGGCATCGAAAAAGTTACGAGGCGATCGTGATTAGGGGACTCCTAATTAAAAAGGATTGAGGGGATGTATCCGCCAAAAAAAAGGAGGGGTCCCTTGAAAAATTTTCCAAAATTAAGTACTTCTAAAACTCAGTTTTAGAATACTTCGTAATACTACCAATTATACACCGTAATGTGTTTTGTTGTCCTTGGGGAGCAAATTGAAAGCCATGGCTATAATTTTTTCAAAACATAAGCTTTCTTATTATTCTTCGTATAATTTTGCTGAAAGTTCTGTGAAAAAAAAAGTATGTATGCGTGTGTATTTGATTCGATGTAAAACTTAGACAAACGTGGACAATTTTTAAGCTGTGAAGGTTATACGTGATGGTTATTCCAAAGAGCTGTTGACTTCTTTTTTTTGTAAGAATCATTTCTCACACCATTGTGAGATTTTGCTTCAAGATCACTGATGATCGGGACATTTGTGTGTTGACAGATGGGCAAAGGGCCTTTCGCTCCCGCGGCTACAGGCTTAGTGAAGATAGGTGAGCTGATGACCCTCGTCGTTACCGTGGATGGAGACCCTGGGTTCAACGTCCTGGTCAGGGAGTGCATTGCTCGTGACGAAAACCCGGCCCAAAGTGGGAACATGGTCCAACTCACCGATTCTCAGGGATGCGTCGTCAAGACGAAGCTCCTCGGCAGATTCCAAACCACCACCAATCCTGAGACCAACTCTGTCATCGCTTACGCCTACTTCAACGTAAGTACACCGCCAGAGCCAGAGACGATATTGTCACCTTCTGGCCAAAGTATCACAAGCGCCATGCGACGTTAAAAAATGTCCGTGGCCTTTTGTTTTTTTATACAGAGAAATTGTTGGTTTGAAAATTTTATTGAATTTTATCGTCAGCACAAAGGAAATTCAGCGAAATTTTCGGCCAGCTTCGTTGAACAATTTCTCTGTAAAGAAATAAAATGTTTTTTTTTTTTTTTTAAACGTCACATGGTGCTTATGATACTTTGCCCGGAAGGTGACGATATATCGTGGACAGTCAGGAATCTCCGGCCATATTCAAGCGGGTTGCGTGTTATCTTGTCAAATCGCAATAATTTACGCACAGTGAAACAAGCCATTGAGGATAGTCAGACATGATATCGTTCGCGAAATCTGCAAAATTTGATGTTTCGTTTGACATATTTCAAAGAAGATTTATTTCTTGCAGAAAATTTTACGAGAAAACCGGTAAAATTACTCTGAAATTTCTATGTTTTTTCATTTAATGAAGATTTAGCATTTAAAGTTTTCACACGTATCCGACCTTATCCAATGGCTCGATCCACCGTGCGATGTAGTAACGGTATCCCTAATAAAGAACTTCAAGAGCGTAACCTAGGTTCGGAGCGCCTTCAAATGCTGGTGATACTCGCCGCATTGTCAGGCAGCTCGTTTAGTTGCTCATCCGAACCAAACCCAACTGAGGTCACTGAATTCACTTCACGCACTCGGGAGTGTGCTAGATGGTATCATGCACTCTGGAGGAAAAGTACGGGATTTGCCGGCAATTGCTGATTGCCTGCTTTTTAGTCATGTCATTTTTTCCGTGTTTATGTCGTTATGTGTTTATTTTTATCGGAGGAAAAATTTAATAAGGAGCATTATTTTACATTCCGAGTTATTTGAGGGGGGCGCGCTGTAAAGTTGACCCGTGTTAGGAGTTAATTTTCATGCAGTAAAGAAAGAATTATAGAAAATAGTCAATCTTTTCAATATTGACGTATTTTCGTACGTTTTTAAAAATAGTTTAAGGTTTTCAAGGAAAATTGGTTTTCTTCGATAATAATAATTTTAGCTCCTATCTCTTAGATTTGACTTGAATTTGTTTAATGCTTTATTCTTCTTCCTTCGCATTCGTCCTTTTTTAATTTCTGTATGTTTGGGTTTGTTTAGGCTTTTAAATTCCCTGATGTGATGGATTTGATCATCGAGTGTAATGTCGATTTATGTAAAGCAGCGTGCCAACCATGTCCGAATCCAAATCAGGTAAATAGTATTTTACGCCTCTCATGAGAACTGCCGAACTTATAAAAAGCCCCTGATATGGTCTACAGACTATACAGACTTCTGAATTTACATTTTTTTTCACCAGAGAGAAAATTTGGATTACTTTATTAGAAGAATATCCCTCTCACATTCCATAAACTTGCAGCATTGTTTTGTTTCTATTTTTTTTTCTATATATCATAATACATCATTAGAATTTCATGTCGCGATAGAATCCTTAAATTCATCCCTAAATGCACATATTTGTAGGATATCGCAATGATGATGAAATCATCATCTACTCAACGCGATGTCCTACAAAGAGATGTTGGTGACACTCTTACTCTGTTGAGGTATTCAGGGATCTAGACCCAACATTTTCCCCAAAAAACTGCCCTTTTCCGTCATTTTTAAGAATTTTTACCATCGGCCCCGCACTAGAATAAGAAATGCTTGACCGGAGACCCCCCTTTCTCCGAGTGAAAAAAATGTTCAGTGAAAAATTACTGGCTACGCCACTGCTTTTAATATAAATATTCAGCATTTTTCTTATGAATAAAGTAAAAATGTACTCATCATCACAATATTTGTTTTTCAGAGCGTGGACCCTGGAAAGAGAAGAAGGCGTGAGGTGAACAATACCTCATTTGCAACCTCATCTGAGCCAGTCACGGTGGCGAAGAGATTGAGGATATACACACCTGACGAAATAGAACCCGCGGCCAGTAGCGTAGTAATAAATGTAGGATCAGCCGGTGAGTGGATCATCAAGATCTTGATTATTAATCTTTGCCAGAGTTATTCTCACGTTTACGCACGTAGCGCTTTGTAAGTGCCTAACATATACGAAAATGAGATGCTAAAAGTGTGCACCCGGGTGAAAGTCTGAGCGCACATCTGCCATGCTAAGGAAGAACGCCGTATGAACATTGGAGGGTTGCCAAATTTCCTTCGATAAAATGTTTATTTTTAGGAAAATGTATGAATATTTTTCCTTGAAATTTTTAGTAACTTATGTGAAATTGCGAAGAAAATTATCTGAAAAATTGGAAGGAAAACGTTCATAAGTTTACCAGGAAATTCGGTTTTTAACAAAGGATATTTTGCAACGCTTGAAGGCTCATACGGCGTTTTTCCTTAGCACGACAGACATGGTCATTTCATTTACATTTCCGGACTCTCATGACCTCGCGGTATTTTGACTCTTTACTTGGTAAATAATACACCCTAGATTTAAAAACATATTGAATGGGGTTGATCATATAATTTTGATGAGCTGTTCAAAATGTATTGGTGATTGAATGGTTTTTTCTGTGACCCGCCGACCCTAATAGGGAACCTACACAGAAAATTCCGTTTTTTTAATGTCTCATATACTACTCGTACTCAATCATCCCTGAGACGATTGATCGTTTCAAATACAGGGAGACGAATCTATTGAACACGGGGGAACCGCTTCTCCGGTAAAATCATTTCTGCTCCTAGAAATGCGACTTTTGTGTCTCGAGCAAATTATTATCTAAATATAGAAACAAGAGTAGAATAACCATACGCTTTAGTTTGGTGTATTAATATAATAATGTCATAGCAAAATTTAATATATTAAACCACAGCATATGGCTACTCTACTCTTATTTCTATATTTATTTCCTATTAACAACACCATGTTTAAGTATGATTTGAATGCCTACGTGGAAAATTCATTTTTTTAAATTTCCCCTCTTATGATAATAAATACATGTTACCTGCATTAATTTTTTTTCTTTATTTCAGCGGATTCTGTGTGTATATCAACGATTAATTTCATCATATCTACCGTAGTTTTAGTTTCTTTGTCCATCGGATCGAGCATAATTAGTGCAACTCTGTACCTGCGAAATCACCGGAAATCGCGATCAGCGTACGTCGTGAAATGAACCAAACCATCTCACAGTTACCAACGCTTTGTTACTACGGAGCCAGATCAAAATAATTGTTACCTAATTTGTTTTATAAACAATAAAAATATTTTGTTAGCTTATTCGATAGTTCAGCAATTTTTTCTTCCTTATTTTCCCCTTTTTTATTTATTGAGCTCTCCACACTGAAAAAAAAAAGCAGTCCATAATATTAAGGAGCACTAAGGTTTTTGATTAAGGCAATCAAAGTCTTCGCTAAGAAATATAAGCCGTAATTTGTTTAACGGAAACTTTAGTTACCTGAAATAAAGTTCGATCCCTATGACCGAAAACATCGGTTACCTGGACTGAAAACTTCTATATTCTACAAGAACCGAAGTATTTTTCTCCGTTTAAGGAGATGCGATCGATTGATGTGGAAGGTCCAAGGAAAAGAGTCTGAAGCTCCTGCCGTCTCGTCATATAGGATATAGTCCAGTCAATCTAGTATTCTTCTGGAAAAATCAATATATAGAGGGTTTCTTTGAAGAAACATGTTGCAATAGGAGCATTTTATCGGCATTGACTGTTCGCTAAGGCCACCATCTTCGAAAGAGGGGGAATGGTCAACGCTTTATTCAAATATTTTTTTCCGCATTCTGCAAGAACCGTTCTATCAATTTTACCCAGTCATTCTACCAACTTATTGTCTCTCCTAACTGTGTCTACAGTTTCTTTCAAATTAATGCTGTATCATCGATTCTAATCTCGCCAAACATAATGCGACCGCCACGCTGGTCGGTACGGAACGTATATTAGCGCCTACAAGGTTGCAGGAATACTTCACGCATTGCGCCAAACACAGTGCGGTCGCTGGTCGATGCGGAAAGCCTACTAGCGCCTACAAGAGTCCAAGAATACTTCACGCATTGCGCGTCGCTACAGTGCGAGTTTTATTTGTTGACAATCGCAATATCTCGGTGCCGGACCTACCGCGGACTACACCATTTCCGACCAGTGCAGTGTGCACCCCGAGCCTGCAATCCTAGGATTGAGAGTGGTCTCTGGCGGCGCATTTTAACCCCTCCCCCTTTTTTTTTAAAGATTAGCGCCCGGCCTTAGCCTTAGCGCACGGCCGATTCCGGTAAACCTTAATTGATATGTTGTTCTAATGGCCGATTTCAACATGTTTCCGCAAAGAAACCCTCTATATACATTCATTCTCCCAGATTGCCCTGTAGATCGTATTCGATAGTGGTTCGATGTGTCGTCTGGTTCAAAACAATAGAACATAATCTCAAACCAAAATTTTAGGATTTCAGTCAGAAAAGCTGAAAATGAGAAATTTTGTAGCAATTTCACAACTCTTAGCCAATAAGTACTCATGCGAATTGCATACGAATCAAAAACCTATCACAAAAAACACTTTCCGTCAGATTACGCAATCGACTTTTGAGTCTGTTTTTTTTTTTACTAATCAATATCGATACAGTCTCACCCGTTTGATGTATCGAATACGATCTATTTTAGAGCTAATTTGACTGGATTATTATGTTAAAAAAAAAAAAAAAAAATTGCTTGCTCTCATTTTTCATAAACTCTATGAACCTATGGAAAAGGATCGACTATTAGGGTATATCTTAATAATCGATTCTTTACCAAAGCTTCAAATAGGAAAATATCGACTGTTGATGATTCACGCCTCGCCACTGCAAGTTGCTCGAGACGGACTGTGTTCGTTGCGTTTGGTAGTGGACGAGTAAACGCAGGCGCACTCGCGTACACACTCGCACATTCGCACTCGCTCAGGGTCCGGGGACCAGCCGGGTGCTCGGGTGGTGCAAAGCTGCCAATTGGAACTTAGGAGTTTGCTCTCAGGGACTACTATCTCTAAAACATCCGTAAAAGTACACATCTCCATAGGGAAACTAATAGAACATTCGTTGGTGTTTAAATTAACTACCAATTGTAGTTCCTCGTTGCAATCTATCGGCTAATTCGTGAGTCACATTTTAAGTCCGGTGGTGGCTGGTGAGTATTTGGATGCACAGGGCACAAACTTTGTTGAGCAGCCCCGTGTAAGTTACGGCCGACTCATGCTGCCCATTGGTTGGGCGTAAGTTCCCTGATTGGCTGAACCCGGCGATTTTCGGCTGTGTTCACTCGATTCACGACGGACCATAAACCAACAAATTTTGAGCCCATGCAAGTGATGGGTGAAATTGTTTTATCCTTGATTTACGCTAAATGGGAAGATGAGGCACAAAACTGGTCTTGAAAACGGAATTTAATTACGTGTTTTAAATTCTAAAACAAATTTCAAAATTTGGTAGTTTAAACTTACTAGAGGAATCTACACCATGATTCATGATAATCTACAATTTTCATTATACTATAAAACCCACTGAAAAAAGTGCTGAGCGTTAGATCAAGCATTACACTTGAATTCGCCATCAACAGTTTTTTTTTTCTTTTATATATCTTGATTCAAACTGAATTTCTCTAGGAACAAAAGAGCAATTGTAGGTACAGATGCTCTCATCTTGACTAATCATGAAGCATCTCTCATCAATTTTAAGAAATTTGCTTTATGCCATGTAGAAAACTGCGCTGAGGCTTTTAGACAAATTCTCTGCAATTCTAACAAATCGCTCTCTTTTAAACAAACAAAGGAGTAAGCCTTTAAAATCCGACGAGCAAACTGTGAGTAAACAAACTTGAGTGCCGTGCATGATCCGCGATATCGGCAGCGTTGGATCGGCGGTCATTGAGTTGGGACAGCAGCGGTAGGGGTGTTCAATCGGTTGTCGGTAAGATATCGATAAAGTTCCGGCAAGAAATAGTAACGATAAGGCGGGTAATACCGATAGCGCACTCACTATCGGTAGCTTAACGGTAGCTTAACGATAGCTTAACGGTAGCTTAACGGTAGCTTATCGGTACCTTATCGGTAGCTTAACGGTAGCTTAACGGTACCTTATCGGTACCTTAACGGTACCATNTGAACACCCCTAAGCAGCGGAGCTTGCGCGCACGCACCGCGACGCAACGTCGAAAGCTGCGCGTTTGGAGCTTTCGCGTTTAGTCATGTCGGCCGGCTCTCGCACATAACCTAGTCGCCCTTTCGTTCCTGTGATAAGTTCCTTGGATCCCGTTTGATTTCCGCGATCTCCTCTCGTCCGGAATCCGATCCGCGATCATGGAGTCGTGAATTTCGGGGGTGCGTCGCGGATCGATCGTCGGATGGACCTGAAGGGTAAGGTTGCCTTGGTGACGGGCGGCGCCTCTGGCATCGGCCGGGCTTTCGCCGAGGAACTCGTCAAGTACGGCGCTAAGGTGAGTCCCTTCCAGACTTATCCGGACCGCATTTTGCAATGAGGAATCAAACGAGGACTGAACTTGTTTATTTCTAAACTGAAGAAAAAGTTCGATCGTGTATTTGGTACCGAATTTCGATAATTCGGTGTTCCAACTAATTCGGTTCGTCAAACTGAATTTTTGGTTTGTCAAACTGACTTTTTTGTTTGTCAAACTGAATTTTTTGTTTGTCAAACTGAATTTTTTGTTTGTGAAACTGAACTTTTGGTTTGTCAAACCGAACTTTCGGTCAGTGTAACCGAACTTGTGCGGTGATGTGAACTGACGAACTAGGTTTGGTCATGTATTCCGAACTTTTGGTTACACGAGCCGAAAGTTCAGTTTGACAAACCGAATATTATTCACATGACCGATTTTTTTTCCTGTTTGGTTCATTTTAGAAAAAACATATGCGCCATTGGTTTCCCTGCGTAGATAGGTGCTTTTATAAAGGAGCCAGATATAGTGGTTCCTTATTGCAAAATTTAATCCATCTTATCCCTCATCACACATCGCAAAATATTAAGGTACATCCTCTCAGCTCTCGAGCAACGCATTCTGAGTAGGCGCGGTCGCTAGATTTCACATTTGGACTACATTGTGCAATTGGACTTCATTTTGTAATTAGGAACTACAATTTCTGGCTCATCTGTATAATCACCTAGGTACATACGTTGTTTCTAAACTGAACAAGAAATCGTAGTTCCTAATTGCAAAATGTATAGTTCAATGAAGTTCTTTTAATTTTTGCTTACCCACAAAAGCACCTATCTACATAGGAAAACTATAGAAACATACATTATGTGTGAAATGAGCCAAAAATCGTATAGTTCCCGATTACAGAATGTTGGTAGTCCATTTGAACTATTAAGCGGATTATTTTGAAAACATCGAAAATCAATCTGAGGAATAATATTCTTATGACCATAGATCTTTCATGGTCATGGTAGATTAGTGGGCCTGCGCCTCCCCCAGAATTTGAAGTAGTATAATCTGCTTCCTCCCTTCCCCCAAGAAATTTTCATAATAGAAAATAGTCGGAGAACCGGTATATTTTCTCATCTCGTTGCAGTATACGATGGTAAAATGAAAAGAGTTTGAGATGTTTTCTGAGAATTATTGGTAGCGTTGAACCTCAAGTTTATATGTTGCCAACCTTTGCGATATAATAGCCTCAGCATGCAATTGAGAGCTGTCAATTTTCCGAAATGTTTCTGAGAAGACCCCTCGACCCCCCCCCTATTTAGACCCCTCCTGGAAAAGTGGGGATTAGGCGCTCGACCCACATGAATTTGCTCTGGCTCCTTAGAGCTGCGGAGGAAAGTTACTTTAGCTTCTCTTCCTTTTCCAGTCCAGGGGTGTACCCTGAACCCTACCAAAAAGAGAATTGGGGGCCCTCTCGAAGAAAAATTTCAGCGAGATTTGCAAAGAAGAGCCAAATGACGCTCTAAACTTTTGGCTAAAGGGGCCTCTGCTGGTCCTTTTTCCAAAAATGCACGGGGCGATCGCCTTTTAACCTCCTGGGCCAGTCCGCCCATGCTCTTTATCTGCTTTTTAAATTGAATCATTTCTCACTGTATATTTCAGGTCTCCATTTGTGACGTCAATGATGACGGCGAGGAACTCGCGGACCAACTGTGCCAAAAATACGGAAGAGACAGGGCTATCTTTTGCTCTTGTGACGTCACCGACTACCCACAAATTGAAGGTACTGAAGATAGACGCTCTGCTGACTTTCTTTACTTCTAGATGAGCCCTTTTGCTCCTATACAACTCTGCACTCTTTAGGCCTCACATGAAAATGAGGTTACGCATGTTCATGTCGTTGCTTGAGTATTTGAGAAAGTAGGGTCAATACCCAGTAGGGGGGTGTTGCCCAACATCTATCTACATAGGAATCCTAATGGAAGATATATAATATAAGTGAAATGAGCCAAAAATTGTAGTTCCCGATTCCACAATGTAGGTATAGTTTTGACTGCTGCAAGAGCCGCAGCTCTCACATTGAGGACATTCTGATTGTGAGTCAAAGTAGTTTTTAATTTGTGCGATGTATAAGGAACCTCGTGGTGTAACGCCTGATCCACGCATTGTAATTCGGATTCGAAGGTGCTTTGATCTCACAACTAAGTTTAACGTGCTTAAAATTTGTTCACATATACTTAGAGCTTCTACTGGACATATTGAGAACGCAAATAACTCGCCATTTTCATCATTTTTTTTCCATTTCAAGGTTTTGGCTTATTAACAATATTATATAGATTGAACATATCGTCACCTTCCGGCCAAAGTATCACAAGCGCCATGCGACATTTAAAAATTTCCGACGCCATTTTATTTTTTTACAGAGAAATTGTTGGATAAATCTGTTTGAAAATTTCACCGAATTTTGTCGGCAGCACAAAGAAAAATTCAGTGAAATTTTCGGACAGCTTCGTTGAACAGTTTCTCTGTAAAAAATTAAATGGCGGCGGAAATTTTTAAACGTCGCATGGCGCTTGTGATATTTTAGAACGTCATATCTATGTTGTAACTCTTGTACTAACTTCATTACCTCTCATTTTCCATATTTTTTCCTCAGAATCTTTCCAGACAACTGTATCGGCGTACGGAGGCATCGACATCGTGATCAATAACGCAGGAATATTCAACGATCGATTTTGGGAACTGGAGGTAGACGTTAATCTGGTGAGTTCAGGGTGTCATTTGGATGTTCACAAACAGTAAGATTTAGGTTATTATGCTAAATTAGTACACGACGCATACTTCATCTTCCAAACTGTATTTCAATAATTTATGGGTGAGACCAGCTCAAAATTGCTCCTGATATGAATGCTTTTTTCAAAATTCTCCTCAGACCAGGGCCGGATTAAGGGGGTGGCCACATGGGCCGCGGCTCATGGCGGCAAATCTAGGAGGCAGCAAATTTTTCAGTTTTTTTAAATGTAAGTATAAAAAAAATCGGATTTAGAAAAAAAATACAAACAAAATCTTTCATTTCCTGAGAGTATTGTAATTTCTAATTTTGTCGTCTTTCGGTGATACAAGAGACAGCACCTTTCATTAATCGAGTTAAGAGACAGACCAAACACGCAATTTGGCCAGGAACGGCGCGACTGAGAGAGAAATGATGACGAGGACTTGAGATGAAAAGGAGAAGCCCTCGGCGCGGCGATCGATATGTGACACATATTAGCGCCTACAAGACTGCACGAATACTTCACACATTGCATCAAACAGAGTGCGGTCACTGCGGTCAGCGTGAAACGCATAGCGCCTACCAGACTGCGTGAATACTTCACGCATTGCGTCAAACACAGTGCGTTCAGCAGCGGTCGTCGGCGTGAAACTCATAGCGCCTACAAAACTGTCGGAATACTTCACATCTTGCTCCGAACACGATGCGGTCTGCGCGGCGCGGCGGCAAGAAAGTTAAAATCATTATTAAACCACATTTATGTTTGTTCTTTCATAATTTTTTCGTTCATTTCTCATGACTGGAAGGCCTTGTCCACGCAGAGATAGGTTTACGAAACTTAACTTTCGCACAAAGTTCGGTGAATTTTTGCTAGTAGTGTTGACAGGGCTATCCCAAAAAATGTTTCCAACACGAGTAAAAGCGTCTCATGAACCCCACCCCCGCTGGCACGTTCACTTGATGGTTTTTATTGATGTTTCAAAACGAATGAGAAGGGGGCGGCAAAATACAGGCGGCCCATGGGCGGCAAGTATGTAAATCCGGCCCTGCCTCAGACTCTCCTTGCGGAGCGAAGGAAGTCCCTTCCCCTGAAACTGAAACAGCCCTCCTGATAAGGTGCTTTCCTGTGTTCCTCGACCTCCCTAAATGAGATTCAATCCTGACCCCCTACCCCTAAACAAAAAAATATCTAGTTCTGTCCATGCGCAGATGATATTCCCTAAAGACTGTTTTTGTTTTATATTTACAATTTTTTTTTTTTTTTTTTTTTTTAGAATGGAGTGATACGAGGGACTTTACTGGCCTTGAGGTACATGAGTAAGCATAGGGGTGGACGTGGAGGCACTATTATCAACGTCGCAGCCGTCGAGGGATACTCTGTTTTTCCCGCAGCGCCTATCTACTGCGCTACAAAACACGCTGTCGTTGGGTTTACTAGATCTTATGGGGTGAGTTCATCCTCATTCACCTAGACGTATTTATAAAAAAAAAAAAAAAAAAAAAAAAAAAAAAAAAAAAAAAAAAAAACAACAACAACAACAACAAATCGAATAATAAAGAATCGGGTCCATGGGTTTTGTCTGCTACAAAGTCACTTTTAGCTTAAATACATCAATTTTCACCTGCATATAATGAGAACTTCTTTAAACATAGTCAGTTCTGCCGTCAGAAACCAGGTGTATGTTACGGGCAAACCGAAACCTGGGCACACCGCGATGTGATTAAATCCTTTGGGAAAATCTTGCAACAACCACCGCTTTTTCAAATTTCCCCGGGCAGATCGTATTGAAAAAATAAAATTGAGCAGAAAACAGAGAAGCGGAAATGAAAATTTTCCACTAAAAAGAAGACATTGTACCTTAAAATTTCTATGATTTCGTCTTGATGGAGAGGCTGCTGATGATTAATTGATTTCTAAATTCTTCTTTGTGAGGCAGAGTCCGTTCCACACCAACATGACCGGAGTGAGATTCATCGCCCTCTGTCCGGGCGGAACGAAGACGGGGATGATCCCGGAAAACGACTGGAAGAAAACGCTTCAAGCGCCTGAGTATGAAGCAGCGTTACCAAAAACCATCAATCAACAACAGCTGTGAGTAACTGTTTCACAGCTTATATTTTTCTCACTTTCTCTTAGAACTTCCAATGCTCTTATAGTCTAGCAGGATGGCACCAACCGGGGAGGGGGGGGGATACTCGGAAGGGCCAAAGTCAATCCTTGTCTGTATTTTGCTAATGACAGTAGACAGTAGACAGTAGATTACTTCCCTATATCGCCATAAAAGTGAGTCTGAGTGAGCCGAAATCGAAATTTGGTGTGCCCCCCCCCCCCCGCTTTTTTCCGAATTTCATGTTATTTTTTGACGAGAACGCTAGCTATCTTGTCAGGCCGCAATATTGATATGTATTATCTGCAGTATAATAAGGGAGATCATAACAAAAAATATCACAATATGGCCTTACGCTCTGGTGAATAAACGACAGTAAATTCAAAGAAAATACATTGAGTTAGAAAAAAAAATAACGAAAAATGACCGTTTTTGTTCGTTGTGTGACTAGTAAGTTGTTAAGTATCCGATTTTTTGCTGTTAACTAAACAGCCAATCCCTCTTTTACTTCTTTTCTTATCTTCTTTTCCTTTCTCTTTCCTTATTCTTCTTCTCTCTTTCCCATTATAATAAACGAAGCCATTTATCATGAGATTATGATAAATCTGGATATTTTTTCTCTTTCCGCAAAAACATTTCGTTCAAATCATACTTTACACGTAAATATGTATCTTTTAGTCATTTGTTTTATTTTTTGTACAGAGTCCAAAACGTCGGTCGAGCCTTAATTTACGTATTGCAGAAGGCACCTACTGGATCTGTATGGTCCGTCGAGAACAATCAGCTTCCAACTGAAATAAAACTACCATTCAACTAATTATATGTGAGTCCTGTACCCCCTGCTGCAATCTACCAGGGTGTTTTACCCCTCTCATTTATTTTATATTTAAATATGACTGTGCAACATTGATGCATCAGAGCTGAGCCAAAAAATATGTTGTGCCGTAATTCTTTTATTTGTTGGGAAGCAGTTCATTCATGTACTTAGATCTCCTCAAAATCATAGTAGTAGAAAAGATATGGTTTTGCTTTATTAACAGATGCGCTTAACCCGTCCATATTCCATACCGTACCTCTTAAATCTAAAGACCCGATCATGTTTAGTATGTAACTAATACTTAATTTTACGAAATAAAAACTTTTCAAAAACTATTACTTTGGAATACTTTGGATTTACTTTAAAATATTACTTTCTTTGTCGACAATTTTTCAAATTTGGTGTATTTTTTTCTGTGTATTAAGTGTAGATGTACTTCTCATTATTAATTTTTAAAATCTATTGTGACTAAGGAGTTCTGGTGCTTCAAAAGGCCTTAGCGGTTAGTTAGTTGCGCGCACCGTCAAACAAAACACATGTTAAAAAGTTACGCGCAAATGCGACTTATTGCGAAACTTTTATACGGAAAATTCCCGATCTTATTAATTTTAAAGCTTAGGTGTATTGTCGTTTTGAAGTTTGCATATAATTGCTTTAAGCTCTGTCAAATTCTGACCAAATTTTCATATTGTTTTATAGTATTATTTTAATTTTGTTATATTTTGCTTTTTTGCTTGTGATATCGGTAAAACCTCCAGATAATATATACCTAGGTTTATACTTCATTGCATTTTAAGTAACTGAGAAGTAGGTAATTTAATTACTATCTGTTTTTGTAACTTATTATAATTTTTGTATTTTATCAATTTTATACTTTGTTCCTTGTTATGAAATTTTAACAATAATTACAAGATTTTTGAAGTCTCATTATTTGATCTGATTATTGTTCGACCCTTAACCCTGAAAAGACAATGACTGCTTTTCAAGAAAAAAAGAGGGCGAACAAAATGGGACGGAATCCTTAACTGAATTTGAACTTTTGCTAGGCAAACTCTCTGTTTATCAATTTGGTTTTAATTTACCTATATTTTTTAGAAGTGCCACAGCCTTAAAAGATATCGATCTAAGAGAATAAGAAATGAAGCGTATTTTAGGGTTTTTTTATTTTTTATTTGACACATTTTAAACTTCACGACCGGAAAAAGTGCTTTACTTAATCTGAGAAAGATGTTCTACATTAGGAAGCGCAAATCTTAAAATTAACTTATCTTAATTATCACAGAGGAAAAAAAGGGATAAGGTTCACGGACAAACTTACAGCCATGCTTGAGCTATACACCTTGAAATTTTGACAATTAAGGATTAAATTAACTTATGCCTATATATATGATAAGGCTTGTCCAAACAAATGGAAGCAAAAACAATAGTTCAGACTAATGGGACCTTGGCATTATGGTGTATGTTATGTAGAGAGAGGTCCGCTCCATAAGCCCCAAATGAAACAGCTGCATTTTTTTAGAGTCGTTCATAATCTAGATGTGAGCAATGGCCTCGATTTCCACTTGAGCTTCCTGCAAAAGAAAATCCATTAATTAAATATTTTTTTCATAGTCCGATATCAAAATGTGTGCAATCGGAAATCAGACATCCCGATTTCCAAAAAACTATCTCAAAAAATCCCTGCAGCAGGCTAATTTTGGGAAAAATAATTAAAAGGTAAAAGCTTGACTTGAAAATTTCAAAATGTCTGTTCCTTCTTTATTTTTTCGAAGAAAAACAAGCCAAATTTATAGCTTGAGATTTTTACATAATATTCTGCTTACAATGAAGAAAAATCAATTAAGTTTCCTAGAGATTACGTTGACTATAGCTTTCCAAAGAAAACAAGTTGGTTTTTGCAATCGCTAGCGATAGCAATATTCGTCATGGGAACTTTTGCTTCTGGGATATGAAAATTTTAAGGTACAGTTCGTTTGTAGTATCTTCAGAATTGAAGGGGCTATGTAATTTTGTGTCGACATCTCTTTTTTAACATTTTTAATTTTTTTT